TAGGACTACCTGAAGTGAAGTTTGTAGTCTTATACGGCATGATGAGGTTCGTAGAGCTCTCATACGTTCSTGTTTGGTTGGTTTCATAGTTTGTAACGGTCAAACGTGCTGTGTATTGCAACCTAAACAAACACAAATTTCTTTGTTAAAACAACACAAGTTTCTACGACTCTTTCATGGTTTCCCTGTGCTAGTACCTACCGAGATGCATAGACTCGGTACCAGACTCCTTTTCTGACAGGTATCATGTAGTTTGTGATTGATATGGGCCCGGAGCCGAGGTTGTAGGAAAACCTGATAAACTCTCCGTGAACTAGACCAAGTGATATGCTAATTGGATTAGCCTGTCAACACAAATACAGCAACAAATGTTAGTCTCATTCAATGCAAACCAGTGAGTTCAAGATCATATTTGATTGATGGGTGCCACTCTCAAAACGAAGGCCTGTCAATCCTYCTTTCCTCTCATTTGATCCTCCCTTTTTCCTCGTTCCCTTCTTTCTTGTTTTTAATAGTTTTGTTATATAATCATTATCACTACTGCATGAAACTGTTGGCAATGGATTGGTATTAATGAGCCTTACCGAGTTTWCTGACTCAGCCAAATAAAGCAACGGTCCTTGGATGATGTCAGCTTTGAGATCAAAAGATACGTCATTGAAGGCTGTCTTGCGAGCAATGCGTCCCGTTGGGGTGTACTGTAGGGAGGTATTGCCTTGCAGTCTCAGAGCATGTTGAATCTAATAATAAAGGAACCAAGTGATTATTTTTCATGCACAAAACACAGGAAACCCAAAAGTCACCGAAGTCGCAACACAGGAAGCCCAAGAAACCGGGAGGATTGACCAAGGATCAAGTCTCGAATCACCATTAGTATGTACCGGTTACCAAGGGTTTTCCTCACCTTGGCAAGTCTTTCTTTGGCTTGTTTAAGTTTGTTTTTCAAAGTTTCCATGTTCTTCGTGAGCTGCAATTGTAAATCAGCGGTCTTGTTCTTTTCTGCATGCGCTTGATTAGCGCTTACAGTGACGTTTTGTAACAAGGCATTTGCTTTTGAAACTAAAATCAAATCAAAATACAATTGATAAATAATATCTTCTAAAAAGAATCAATCCCCAATTATCATCATCATCAACCATCATAAAAACTGACATTACCTGCAAGAAATGATTTTGGCATCAAGTCACGCGCATGCTCAGCCTGGGTATTAATAGAAGTCATTGAGGCATTGAGACGATTTACTTCTTGTTGAACAGCTTCACCATTTGAATAGATTGAGCCCCACTTCTCGTTCACCAACCTGACCCAGGACTCGGCAGCTGTTGTGCTCTTAAAGACTGAGTGTTCAGCTGCATTAGGTTCTGACCATTCAATAAGTTTGTTGGTTTTAGAGAGYAGTAGGTTATGATAGTGTTTAATCTGATTGCCAACCACTGTAACACCCAAGAACGTCTGGTTTGCCAAAGACACTTTGTTCTGAAGACCTTGAATAAGGTAGGAAATGCAACAATACCAATTGTTAAAAAGATATAATAAATTGCTTGTCAAAACTGGTCAAATTGAATCCTTCAATTACCTGCAAGGTCAGTGTTACGTTGTTTGGTTGAATTCAASACTTCTTGACTTTTCTTTAAACTATCTTCAGCACTCTTCTCCATGGCAGAAAACGTTTTGGTAAATTCGTTTAACTGTGGATAAAATGCAAGACAAGTTACTAGGATGAAGTCTGTGTAAACGTATGACAGTATTACAATGACATTAATAGTATTTGAATGTTATGTTATTTAATGTCATTCCTGAGCACGGTGAATTTTTACCCCAAAGAGAACCGACGAGCATCCCCGGTACTTTATCCCGGAGTCCCCCCCCTCCCGGGGCCCCGGATTCCTGAGAACAATACTTACCACTTTCATAATCTCTTGTAATGATTCATTGACCTTGACTGACGTCTCAAGCGACTGATTGACAAGTTTGACAACTGATTCGTATTGCTTAATGGCAGCCACAGCCCGCTTTGCATTGTCTTGWACGCTGTCAAGCTCACTAATTATATACAAAATGGATAAAGAAACAGATAAACAATAAGCAAGCATTATAAATTGTTCAGTTTTTTATGTTGTTGWTGTTTTGTTTAGTCTCAGTTTATCTAGTGATGCTATTTGAACTAAAAGTCACCACATTACTAAAAAATTACAAAAAACGAATAAAATGTACCTCTGTCTAAGGTTTGCTTCAGCAGTAAGGTTTGCAGCATGCAAGGTTGCGTTTATATAGACAGATTTATTGGTGGAGCGAATCAAGCTTTGTGTACTAGAGATGCTGGAGTTCAGGTTTGCTAACTTTGCTGTCAATCCTGCATTGCCAGTTAATACCTTCTCAGTATCCTACGGAATCGAATAAATAGTGTAGGCACTGCTTATGAGATAATAGTTAAGTGAAAGGAAAAAGGTTAATGAATAAATGGAAAGGAGTGGAGAGGAACATTAGTAGCAGATGTTTTAGCAAGGATAACGGCAACAAGAATCATGGCACAATGCAAGAATGCAGACGAGAAGTGACATAAGTAAGGGAAAGGAAGGAGGAAAAGAAGGAGGACGTGAAAGAAGCAGGAGAAGAGAGAAAAAAAGGAAAGAAGGGCGGCAAGTATGAAAGAAAGAAGAAAGGGAATAAGGGAAGAAAGCGAATGAAGAGATAAAGGGAACAAAAATTATAGGGAGACGAAGTAATAGCCGACTTGCGAATTACGCATCAATAGTCACATACAAAGGAATCAAGACGAGGCGCCGTGCTAAAGACAATAGATTTTTCACAAAAAAGCACGGCGCCTCGTCTTGATTCCTTTGTATGTGACTATTGATGCGTAATTCGCAAGTCGGCTATTGAGGAAGTCGAAAACAACTAAAGGAAGACGGAATGGGAATTATAACGAAATCAAAATGAGATGAAAGGGAAAAACAGGAAATGAAGTAAAGCTTTACCTTGTAGCTACTGTYTCCATTACYAATATCTTTCCAAGCACTATCTATTGACGAACGAGCTTGCACAAGGACGTCATGCGAATCAGCAAGTGTTTGATTACTCTGTGATATCAAAACCTAAAAACAACGATAGTTATATGAATGTCAAACTAGTTTCAGAAACTGACACGAAATGGATATTGCTCTCGTACCAAAGTTTGTTGGACCAGTGTATTAATATCTTCAGTAAGTCYTGCTATCATGGTATTGCGTTGTGAAAGAGAGTCAAACTCCACCAGCTTGTCGTTAAAGCTCTTCTTATTGTTGACAATACTTGTGTTTAAGATATCTGCTCTGGTTTTGTGTTCTGTGACATTCCCTCGCGCATAAGCTGCTAGTTTGTCCTTTGCATGCCGAGCACTAGCAAGTTCWTTATTAGCTTTGGTTGTCTCATCGATATAGCTGCGTCGTAGAGTAGTGTTGGCTTTGGAAAACATGTCTGCTGCCGAGTTCTGTAGGCCTTTCAGCTCATTATTGATGGTAGAAGCCATTTTGTGAACATCTTAAAATAAATGGGAAGAAATGATACAATCATGATGAATGCACAAACAAATATTTTGAAATATTGATTTATTTGGAGAATAATGCGCTAAGCGACATTAAAAAGTAGTTTAATGTCCATGTATACTAAGGGTGACTTACAGCAAGAAACACAATGTATGATTCTGTTTTGTACGCGCTATTCAACAGTTGGTCAAACGTGTAGTAGTTTAATGTCCATATATACACCATATAAGGGTGACTTACAGCAACAAACGCAATGTATGTTTGTGTTTTGTACCTTCAACAAACTTAAAAGCAGTCTCAGTTTTGTTTTTGATTTCTTGGACTTTGTGTAATGCTTTGGTAGTATTTTCCTTCAGTTTGTCAGCTTGTGCGGACAACAACAACAGCTGAAAATATAGAGCTCTTATTATAATAACAACGAGACAGCAATTATGCAGCAATACTATTCGAAATGGTCAAAAAAGTTAGAAAACAACTATTACCTGAGCTCTCAAGTCATGGATGCTACTGTTTAACGTGTTATTCTTCAGCAAATTCAAACCGTTTCGTAAATCTTGAATTCTTTTTTCAAATTCTTTAACCAAATTCTAAAATATTATTTAAKATACAATTTAGAAATCATTAAAAAAAAGGAAAGAGAGCGAGAATGGAAGATGGGAAAATGGGAGGGAAAGAAATCGAAAGAAAGGGAAATGGAGTACCTCAGTCGTTGTAATTCTATTTTCTACTTTCTGCAGTTCTTCCTTAAAAGGTCTCAGTTTCTGAACTTGCGTTGCTTTTTCCAGAGAATTTATGATTTCTTTCTGTGTGTCGTTMAGCTTTCCTCTGAGRCCTACTCTGGTACACTCGTCACAAGCTAAAAACGCATGGAAAAAATATAACATCTCAGTTCAATTGTACGAGATCTGATATAGATTTGCAACATTGCTTGTCTGTTTTTTAGCTTAAGTTTTGTTTGTAACGCGAAAAGATTTGCTTATCATACTTACGAGTACATCCACTTGAAGAGAAGTTGTAGTGCATGACCATACATCGGTCACACTGTCTACCAGTCACGCCAGGTTTACAGTGACACTGACCTGTCACACCATTACAGGGAACCGATGTATTCGAGCCAATAGCACTGCAGTTGCACACTGGAAAGAAAATCCACGTAAATAATGAAAAGGAACAGAAATAAAACAGCAGAAAAACAGGGCTTCCAACTCTTCTACAACATAAAATGATATTTGGTGTGAGTTAATCCACACAAAAACTCTGTTCCAGAGAGGTAAATAGCTAAAAAGAAGAAACCAAAACCTAAAAAAATATTCTTACTTTTACACTCTGCGAAAGGCAGACCATAGAAGTTTGTTTCACAGCGATTGCATGTCTTTCCCAGTGAATGTGSTTTACAAGTACAAATGCCAGATTCGTTACATTGTAGTTTAACAGACCCAAATTTRYTGCAGTTACATTCTGTACAACCAGTTGAAGTAAAGTTGTAGCTGTTTTCCTAGAAATAGAAATTATATGATCAAACATGTTTCTTTAATCAGTTGATGTCAAGTTGGTCGTTGTTATAACCGAAGGAAATGCTTTTTAAACTAATCAATCAACTATATTTCTTTTCTGTTGCTTTCCTTCCYATTTCCCTTYCAGTTCCATTCATTCTCATTCTCATGTGAGTGCAGTGCTTACCATGCATTTCGAGCAGTCCCTTGTGTCAACRTTGRGGTGACATTCACACTGGCCGTTTCTATGGTCACAGATATTGTTCTTTGATCCAGTAGAATTACAGGCACAGCCTGGAAATAAATAAGTATAGCAAGCAATGAGGTTAATGTAATTATCACATCACACTGTCACAACACTGAGGCATTCTGATTAACAAGATTTTTCAGCCATGGAGTAGTTGACAGTACATCTCTGTCATAAATTCACTGTAATTCTCTGTAAATTCACTGTAATTCTATGTAAATTCTCTGTAAATTCTCTGTAATTCTCTGTAAATTCACTGTAATTCTCTGTAAATTCACTGTAATTCTTTGTAATTCTCTTTCATAAAGGTATATAATTAATAGCGAGATTTCAAGTGACTTTAATCCTTTATTTCTTTACCTGTACAGTTTTGCATAGGTGCATAACCATATGTCTGATTTTCACATCGTTCACAGTGGAAGCCTGTAGTGTTATACTTGCAGTCTGTACACTCTCCAGAAATGGTGTTACATATATCACTATTGYTATTACACTGACACAGGGAGCAGTTTCCTCCATCGAGATCTGGTCTACCAAAATACTTCAACTGACACCTGCATGAAATGAATGGACACATGAGGATTTCTAATAACTATGAATTAAAAAAATCAAAATCACTATAATTATTGCACTTTTCCTTACTTATCGCAAAGCCGTCCCTCATATCCCACTGAACAGTTGGTGCACTTTGGMAGTCCATAGAAATCAGTACAAAGAGACCTAAGAACAGAAATCAGTAACTAAATATTAGTAGTAGTAATTGTTAAATATAAACTTCAACCAACTACTACTTACGTGGTTGTTCTAGGTGCCTCGCATGGGCATGTCATGCAGTCATTAGGAGTTCCATCTGTAGCATTACCATAGAAACCATCAATACAACGCTCGCAGTGGTTGCCGGTGGTGTTATGATCACAGTTCTGTGGATAAAACAATTTTATAAGCTCCAGGTCATAGTCTCTGGGGTTGCAAAGGGGAAAAGGCAAGAAGCTACTTACATAACAATGTCCAGTGCTGGCATGACAATCAACAGTATGTTTGTAGCAGTTGCAAYGTTGACATTTACCAAAATATGCATCACCAGAGACATTAACACGGTGATGACTGGCAGCACAGCGCTAGAAATACAACAATTCTTAATGATGTGCGATGTTTGAATATCAATAAAATTGATTCTTCGTGAAATCTTACCTCACATGACAACCCTGTGTATTCTGGCCCACAGTTGCACTGTTCAACATCCACAGCTCTTCCTTGAACAGTGGTGTTATCTTGCACATCAGAAACTTTGATGCCACCAARGCTAATAATTCACAGACAATTAAATATATAATTAACTGAGCTCAACATTGCTGTCTGGATGCATCAACAATGAGGTCATGAAAAGTGCATGTTGGGTAGTGAATTACCTAGTTTTGTAGAAACCGTCGCCACCAGTCAATAGAGAAGCAGTTACATGAATAGMAAGTGGTTTGGCTAGCACTAGCATGAAATGTTCACGCGATACGGAGGTATTGGTTCCTGTATAAACCCATGATGTCTGGTGGAAAACAACTTAACATTATTAACTTCTACTTAATTTTATAATATTTAATATTGATAAACCTTCTTGTTTTTCCTGCTCATTTCTCSATGCTCAACGTGCAATTTATTGTAGTTCTTTCAGGAGAAAAGAAAGGAAAAAGGGAAAAAAAGTGGAAAGTTTGTGAAATTGAAGAGAAAATAATGAAGAAGAAAACTAGATATCACCTCTTTCATGAAGACAGCTCTTGTTGTAACCTGATCAACAGCAACAGGTTCAAAACTCTGCTCAATCGCAATATTATGAGAGCCCTGAAAATTTTTGAATAACAATACAATGTATATCAGAAAATACATCTCTATATATCTCATATAATATCAGATAGACAATAACTACTGGATATTTACCTTGATAATCACTTTTGGCATGGCTGCAGCAGCTGCACTAGACAAGTTTGTCACATGAACAGCAAAGGAGAGATTRCCAGCATATGATGAAACCTAGAAGTACAAGTAACATACCAATGTTATTATCAAAAACAAACAAACAAGCAAGCAAAAAAAGTCTTGATAATGCTGACTTTATGTAACATACCAGTGACCTCTGAGTGAGGTTTTCATTAGCCTKCCATATCAAGTTTTGTGAAGTCACTGAAATGTTGGCTGTAATGAAAGGGGTGTTCTCAAGGTTCAGTTCCTAAAAAAATACAGCAAAACAAAGAACATTTTAGTATGATAATGCTACATTGAGCTTCTCTGTCAAAATATCACTTCAGTCATAAGGCTRTYCTTGCAGTGTCTGCTTGAATTGTTTGATTTCTTTTCAATTCTTACCATCACAGATCTTTCAACAGTAATGGTTTTCTTGTTATCTTCATCATACAAATTCCACAGATTTGACTCTAAAGATTTCTGTCAAAAAAGATTCAAGACATGTAAAACAATGATTGATAAACACTTCCTAGAAGAAGCCATTTCTTGCAGTAAAAATGCACTTATCACACAGCTCATCTAATCTAGTGTAATAAGGTATAAAATAATATGAATGGATTCCTACCTGGTAAATATACTTGTTGGTACTGGAACAGTTGCTGGTTATTCCCATACATATACAATCAGTACATCCYTTAGGGTTTGGCTGGTAAAGATGGAATGATCCTGGCTTGCACTGGTTACAGAGTAAACTCATTGAATTTGCCTAAAATTATTAACAACCACATCATCAAAGAAAATCTTCACAAGCATATAAGACAAGAAAAAGACACAAAAAGTCGTGATTGGAATATAGATTAAAGCTAGGTAGTTCCTGGTCTGGCTTCCTGGCCTAAGAAGTCAGGTTTCCAGGAAGAATACAAACCTTGCATGTGCACTGCCCTGTTGTCTTGTTGCAAACTGACTGTAAACTGCCCCTCATGTCACATTCGCATCCAGTACAACCCRCAGATGAGAAGTTCTTGTATCCATCTTGACACTCAGTACATTTGGCAAGATGAACACCTTTTTTGCAGCTGAGTAAGATAACATTGTAATATTACAACCAGTTTACAATGAGAGGAAGAGGGAGCTATGATTAGGAATTCATGGTTATACCTGCAAATTCCAGTTGTCAAGTTACATTGCAAKTTASTYGAGCCAATTCTGTCACAGTTACATGACTGMAAAAGAAGACATGATTTTTTTAAGCAAGTAGAAGAATTGTTCTATTTACTCCATTCTTGACATTATTACATGTTGTACATTTGCTGAAAAACCTTAGAACTAAGAAGACTCTTACTTTGCATCCAGAAGTAGAGTTCCAWCCCCAAAAGGTAGCATTACACTTGTCACAGATTCTTCCATTAGTKTTAGGAGGACAGTTGCATTGTCCTGACTTGGGATTACAAACTTTATCATCAGTTGCACATCCACAAGCTGTTAAAAAATAGTTGTGACAGTTGACTTTAAAAAATCTACACAGTATGACCACAGCTAAAAATGATGCTGTAACTACCTGTACAACCAGCTGATGTGAAGTTATAAAAACCTGGAAGACACTTGTCACACTGACGCCCTGTCACACCAGGTTTGCAGTGACATTGACCACCATACTTTTGACAAGTCTGATTATGAGAGCCAACAACGCTGCAGTTACACTCTAGGAATTACACAGAGAAAAGGGAATTAGATTATTCATTTACTTGTTCATTTATCCATTTTTTCATTCATCCATTTGTTCATTTATCCAATTTTTCATTTATCCATTTGTTCATTTATCCATTTTTTCATTCATCCATTTGTTCATTTATCCATTTTTTCATTCATCCATTTGTTCATTTATCCAATTTTTCATTTATTCATTTTTTTCTAATCACCTAATGCCTTTCCAAAATATGCAGCAGTAACGCTGAAGACATCCTTCTTGCACTCCTCATTGGAAGACGACTCTTTCATGAAATCAGTACTCATAATACTGCAGTTGCTAAGGAAACCAGCCATGCATTCACGAAGAGCTGTTGGTTGGTTGAACTCTTTTGGCAAAGCAACAACCTTCTTTCCTTGAAATCCAAYAGYAAACGTCATATTCACWKTAACCACACCACTTAGAGAAACCTCTCCAAACTCTGTCAAGTTTCTCATGCAAGTTTGACGGCAAGTCKCAAGRGAGATAGACTTAGTTGTTGTTGTGTTTTTCATGGTAAYRGTRACAGTAACTGTTTGCGGGGAGCCACTTTGGTAGGATAATAATAGAAAGAAGAGCCCTGMRTTGGAAYTGACTCCATTCATAATGTTGATGGTAGATAACCAAGGACTGTCCTAAAGATTTGATAAAAATATTTTACAACTTAAGTTACCAGCAATTTTTAATTGCAATTGTTGCCAACACATTGCCGACTTACCTTAGAGACTTCTTGACTGGACATGACATGCAAACCAGGATAATATGCCATATCATTGGGTCTGTCAATCAAACAATGCAAGAATAGAAGAACTTAGAGTCAATAATGATCAAAGAGTTCTACAGGCACATGTTATAACTTAGCTGTCTTAAATGTCAGTATAAATATAATCATATATGCTGTATTTAAAATGCCATATTATACCTTGTACATTGCCGTCCCTCTATGTTCTTCAGACAGGTGCACTGACCATCGYTCTTGTTACAAACATTATGTTCAGCACCACCGCAGTTGCATAAACAAGCTGCAATAATTGTGAAAAGAATGACATTGAGCTTCAATTGRGCTTCAATCCAGTCCTGCCAGCTCATCTTACCTTTACAGCCATTAGGGTCATCATGAGTAAGACCATAATATGTATCATTGCATGTGTCACAACGTATACCATGAACATTTGATTTACATGGACACTGGCCATCTACATCAGGTTCGCAGACATTGGATCTATTGACGGAGCCATTTGGATCACATYGACACTCTAAAAAGACAAACACAACTTGATTTGTTTCTTACTTTTACAATGTTAGCACAAACTCTAGCTGGCTGTTTGTCTTTCACTGTGATAAAAGATCATGTTGAACAAGTTTTCAATGCTTCTACATGTTTATGATTAATCATTTTATCATGGTTGTCTTATTAGTAAGACTCTTAAAAAGCTCTCACTACAACTTAACACTACTTGTTTCTTACCTTGGCAACCTTCTGGATTTGTTCTKCTCAGATTATAGAAGCCAGGTTTGCACATATCGCAAATTCTACCCATGACGTTTACCTTACAGAAGCATGAACCAACTGGAAGCTACAGAAGAGAATTCAACAACAAGATATTTTCTTGCAATCATTTAGTGGGTGCAAAAGTAATAGGAATAATATAAAGCATACTAAAATATATTCTTTAATGTTTCCTTTGTATTTTTGGTTTTGTTAAATATATATTACAGGAACACAGGATTTGCTCTCATTACCAACAAACACATTCTTAAGSCCATCCAAGTTAATAAGTAATGAGCTCCTATTGGCCTTGTGAGCTTTGTATTTTATTTGTTTTTATAATGCTTTTTTTTCAATAAAAAGAGATTGATAAAAAAGGCAATAAATCTATAAAATACCTCATTATTAGTTCTTAATATTGCAGTTTTCCTCACACAATCTAAGTTGATTTTACCATCTCCAGTAGATAGATTAATACAGCCATCAGAAAAGCAGCCACATGCTGTTACACAAAACAAAGAAACAAAAATATGAATTGTGCTCAATGTAAACCAAATCAYTGATAGTTGGGTAACTCACGTTTGCAGGTGTTGATGGCCTTTCTACTGACATTAGCTGGATGGTAAAAGAACTTCTTGCACTGTTCGCAGTTCACTCCGGTTGTGTTGTGCTGAGAAAAGAAACATTGAATTAATTTCCATGATTGTGAAATCATTTTACCCCATACAGTCAACTCTCGCTATTACGGACACACTTGGGACCGTAATGTAGTGTCCACAGTAGCAAGAGTCTGTACTAACAGGAGTTACTTTCAGTCATTTCTTTGTATTTTTTCGTCAGGGATTCAGTATTTTACTGTTTGCAATATCGAGGTGTCTGTTGTAGCGGGGTGTCCATAAGGCAAGAGTTGACTATAGTTACATTGTATATAGATCTCTTATTGCTATACAGATGCCAGACTTGCTTATAATAAAGCATTAAATGAATATGTTATAAACCATTATCAATAATTGTATACCTCACAGTTCTGGCAGACACCACCACCGCTATACTTGCCATCAATYGTCATACTTGCATTCATKTTGGCAATAGTTTGGTTGTAGACACAAACTGAACTGTGATTGTGACAATTGCATACTAAAGAAACAACAAATACAAATAATTAACAGTTCTGTGTATAATAACAACATTTTCACTGCTAAACAACAATATATCATAAAAGATAAGGAAAGAAATTAACACATGGTTTTGCTGTTATTAATCCAACGTTTTGGTGTCGTCATGACACCATTATGTTTGTTGTTATTATTTAATAATAAATATTTACAAGTGTACAAAAATGTATAACAACAACATCACCACTGTCATATCAATAAAAATACAAGTATGTTACAATTATAAAACAAACTTACACTGACAAGCTGCAGACTCGTCAACCACCATTGGACCTTTACCACCAGCTTTCCATGGATACTGGTTATACGCATCACAACATTTGTCACACTTCTCACCACACGTCCCTGGTTGGCATATACACTTGTTGTCGTTGGTTATGTTACTATGTTTACACGCAACGGCATGTCCATTACAAGGGCAATATCCTTCAATAACAACYTCTTTGACWGCATAGTGATACTGCATTTGAAACAAACAAGAAATAAATGAATGAATGAATGCATAAATGAATWWTGATTCATATGACGAACATCACTCACCCATTGTACAGCCATAGGATCAAAAGGYCTTGCCAAAGTGAGAAACTCAATGCGTATGTTAGTAGCTTTTATCCAGTCCTAGAAACAAATRAAAATAATAATTAATGATTATAAACTTGTTCAAAAAGGCAAAAATATTTCAGCAATTAATTCTGAGTGATTCATACCACTAATGCTGTACTTGGGTTGACATCTTCCTCTCCCTCCCCTCGATAGGCTGAYGGATTCCATGTAACCTGGAATTCACAAAAGTATGGTGTTATTTACTGGAAAAGATTTACWGGAAAAACAACCTGGAAATTCCTACGTACTATGTCATTGTTTCTCTTCGCAGTTGTATTGGAATAAACCATACAAATGACATCATTTACAGAACCAGGTTTGCCTGACTCTGCAAAAGCCCTGTTGAATTTTTCTCTACACTGCGTTGATGGCTTATCGTCGTTTAACTTATTGGATATGGTGGATACATAGAAATGCCATGGTTTGTAGKTMACACCATTGTCATCTGACTTGTACAATCCCATTTGTATTGGACGGTAGAAATCTTGGAACCAAATCTCAATTTTATCGATGTAGTAATACTGTTGCAAAATATAAAACAAATGTTATCAAAATCAGTGCAAATTGCTGTTTATCAATAAAATCAAATGTTTATAAGTACAGTCAATATGAAAGACAAAATTGGGAAAATAAAATGAATATTAGTCAAGGTGCAACAAATGGGGAATTAGTTACAACAACAACCATTATTACATGTATATTAAATAAAAAAATTGCCTATTTCATGGTCTATATTTGTAGCTCTAGTCTAGAAAATTTTTCCTACATTGAATTGCAYTTCTTATGCCAATCACGTTTGATGTTGCTTAGAAACGTAAGCAAAGTTTGTCAAAGTCATGACTCGTTTAGATAAAAACATGTATTAAAAAATATAATATACGACAATTTGRCCGTATGAAACACGGAAAAAAAGAAAACAGTACTGCTTAAACTACGTTTAATTCTAAACCTAACAGAGCGCTTTTTAAATTCCTACACAACATTTGTTAATACTTATTTATCAAGTGAATAGTTGCGGATATTAGCGTATCTGTCTCAGSAAAACACGATTGAATATTTAATGCATAAATTGACCACAAAGTGTGTAATTTTAATGAACTGTTAACGTTTACTTCGCTCTTGACTTTATGGTTTAAAGTCAAAGATTGAAGATCKAATGAAGCCATTTCAATGCAAGATTACATGTAAATATATAGAACCTTGAGGTGCTGTCAAACAGAATTCTAAAGTTGTTGCTGTGATAATCATTTTATACCTTATGAACGGGCCCCGTTAAGTCAATGGTAATATTCGCTCGATTAACCATAGAAGTTGACTGCCAAAACGAGTTGAAATCCTCATCCACCAAGTTAGGAGGGTTATGAGCTTTTGCTGGGTCCGAGGCGTTGCACCATTTCGGAACTCTCAACGTTGGCTGTATATCATTCTGTAAAATATCGAAATACTTCTCCGGTGGAGTTCCACAGGTTCTKTTTGCGAYAACWGTCTTATTAAAAGCTGCRTTMACCGTAGATGTTGTRAGAGCAGCATTCGTGTTTGATATTATGTTGATATTGAACGTAAAAATTGCTACAAGAAGAGCCAACGCCATCTTCTTGTGGAGTTGACACAGATGGTATGCATGGGTTTCTATGGATTTGCGTCGTTGCTGCTAAGGAAGTGAGGTTTAAAAATGTGATTGACATATGCTAATCACGTCGCGTTCTTCGACATCATTGTTTTTTTAAGTCCATAAACAAAAGATCACGGAATTTAACACCATTATATTTTTAAAATAACGGTGGCGTAAAGTTTATGAGAGGATTATAACCGAAACTTTTGAAATGACTAACTTGAATTCATATACAACAGTATATCAGACGATGTATGAATAATTCACTGCTTCGATTGTCTTTTGACGGCATGAAACTTGTAAACAAAAAGAATCAAATTATAAAACCGACTTATCCTGGGAATGAAATCGCATTTTCTAAAACAATAAATTTCTAACGCATAACAATTTAAAACCTGAGAAAAAGTTTTAGKATATTTTTGTCAGCATTGATATCTTAACTTTTAATTTCGCTCTCCGAGCAAAATGAACGACAACTCTAAGTTTACGTATTTTTTTTATTTTGCACTTGAAACACACTGGTCAACAAAGCGATTTACAACACGTTACAATTTTCACACTAAATATATTGACCATCGTTGACAATAATATTAACAAATATTAGTGTCTATCGAAGTCGTCACGCAATACATTAA